CCCCAGCCCCCCCACCCCGCCTCTTCAAACCCGTGTTCAGGGGAGGGGTGTGGGGAGGGGTGACTAGACAGCACGAGGAACCTCCTGATGGCCTCCGCTCAAGCGCTCACACTCCAGCGAGCGATAGAGAAGAGGCTGCAGACTTGCGAGAGAGTGCGGGCTCAGAACTCGCCGCAGCCGGGCCTCACGTATCCGCGGGTTCCTGCTTCACGCTGCTTCCCCAACTTGGTGGGGCCAGGAGGGGCGGGAGAGCCAGCTGCAGGTGAGATGGCATTTATTCGATTCTCTAATGCCACAAAAATGTCTTTGATGCCCCTGGCCCCCTCCCCACGTGGGGAGATCAAAGGCTCCGTGGGAAGGAGGGACAGCTCCATTCATCACGGCCCTGGGCTGGCAACGCCTGCAGTCTGTGCTCCTCCCCTCCGGCCCCACATGCCCCCGGGGTGCTGAAGGACAGGTGGTGCGAGACATTCCACAGCAAGGGCCAGTCTCGAACCACCATCATCTATCTAGAGTGGCCATCAATTTTTAGGAAAGTACTGCGGTGGGGAGAACAGATCTAGGTGCAGACACCTCAGGCTCCCAGAGCAAAACTCCTGGTGCTTTGAGTGGGGGAGCCCCTGAGCTTGGACAGGGAAGCCACTTCCAAGAAAAACACCCCTGGTGAGCAGAGAGAAGGCAAGATTCTGAGTACCCCAGAGACTGGAGGCAAGTGGGTCAAGATGAGACTGGGGAGCAAGAGGATGTGACAAAAGACCGTAGGTGCCTACCCCACAGTAGGAGGCAGATCTGGGAAAGGAAAGGAAGGGTGAGAAGTGGGGGAAAGAAATGGAGAAATGTTAGCCTAGGCACATAGGGAGTTTGTGGGTTTGCTGGAAGCCCCATCCCAGGGCCCTGGTTGGTCTGGGCTGTGTTGGTCTAATTTCTGGGTACAGAGAGTTCTGGTGAGGGGTTGGGACCCTCTGGAGAATGGGAGGGGGCCCTGGGGGAGGAGCTGGTGGCTGAGGGAGTTAGTGAGGAGGCCGTGGTCCAAGTGCTGCCTTTCCCATTTTAGCCCTTCATAGCGTCCAGATGCCATGCACAGCCCCTGCACCTATTAATTTTGCGCGCATTTGCTGTTTCTGCAAGGCAATGCCAACTCTGGGCAGGGCACACTCAAAGACGTGCCCAGGTTAGGTACACACTCAGGCCAGATGGTGCTGAACAGACTGTTGGTGGCTCTGTGGGGGTCCCTGGAGGCTGCAGGTGGCCAATGACCAGCCCCCCCATCCACTGCCTGGGTTCTGAACCCCCTGCCCCCACCCTGCTACTGTTATTGCAGATTATGAAATGCTCTCCCTATCCTGCATTCTTCTCCGAGGCAAGAATTTTAATGTATTTGTCTTTGTCATCAGGGGACCAGGGCTCTGGGACCGCCCTGCCTCTGCCTGAGGAGGGAGCGCCCCAAATCTGGTCCCAGCTGCCTCCAGACCCCATCCTCTCTCCACTACCACCCCCTCATGCCCTAGCCCTGCCCCTCGCCTCCCCCTTCTAAGACACAGTCTCTCTGTGGGGTGGATAAAAATGATGTTATTGAAACAACAGAATTGGGAGCAGTGGCAGGGAGCAGGGATCAGCTCAGGAAACTGGGGTGTTTGCCAAGAAGCCTTCTCCCCCGCAGGAGGCCTTTCTGCCCCCGCCCCCCACCTTTCCTACAAACACACACAGATTGCCCCACCTCTCCTGCAGTACTCTCTCTGGTCAGATCTTGCAGACTATTTGCCCATCCCTGGACTCCCCAATTCCTTGTCCTCTCCTCCCACCCCAGAGTCCCATTCCAGAATCAGTTGGCCCAGTGGCGCCTGCAGAAGCCCTGGGAAAGTGGAGGTGTGGGCTGTGGGCTGTGATGGACAGGCCTCCGGAAGCCCCAGTTACCAGAGCCTAGGTTCCAAGGGAAACTTGCCTCTGCTCACTCCCTTTTGCCTTCTCTGCACCCTCATCTAGGAGTTGGCAGAGCCAGAGCAATGACTTCTGCCCTTATGCCCTCCAAACCTTCAGATAGGTGAGCTCAGAAGTTATTGAGACTTCAAGTCTTCGCTGTCACCTTAGAAGACTTTCCACAGAGAAGGACTGGGGGACCAGGAGATAGAGACAGGGCACACAANCTTCCCCTCTGCACCCCAAGAAAGAGATAGAGCACCAGGAAAGAGCCAGCTCTTTTCTCACAAGGCCTTTGCCAATAGTACTTTTCATTTGAAATACTTTTTACAGTTTTCATGATCTATATAACACAGGCTTTAGGACTGAATATTACCTTTCTTCATATGCCAAGCCCCCCCCCCCCACACACACACACAGCTTGGCACAGACTTTCATATAACTACAGAAACCACAGGACAGCCTCATCTCCCCCAGACAATGCTGGATTACCCACACATATGGGTGGACACACAAATGGGCTGGCTCAGGATGAGACTCATGCCTGCCTACCTGGAGATCACACACACACACACAACCTCTGCACAGACATGCAAGTAGAGGAACGGTCACAAGAGATTGGAATGGGAACACAGCAACCAGACATGAGCAGCTTGAATGGAGTGGTGCCACTCTAATCCCCCTTTCTCTGTCCTCTGGGCACTGCCCCCCCCC